TATTCATAGCAGTGAGACATACTATATTCTCCAAGAATGTGATGCAGACCACATGTCAATCTATCGCGTATCATTAATATCCATTTCTTAATGATCATCGATTTAGGCGATTTTAGAGTTATACTTTATCAATTAACATCTCACTCTGTTAATGACAGTATCAACTCAAGTGAGCAATTAATTAATAAATTGCAAACAATCAAATAATTATTTAATTAATTACAATGTCATAATTATAATTCAATATAATTATTACTGTGATCCTGTATATATGTCTTGAAAAAGATTGTCTCTAGGACACATATACCAATAATCTCCCACTTGAACTAAAGACAATCACCAATGTATCTAATACACATTTTCTTAAAATGACTATTGTACTCAACTATGCACAATGGTTTGGTGAACGAACCATTTCTCTAACATAATATGAGTCATCTTTTTTCGTATTATGTGTTGGTAGATTCACGAATAAAAACAAAGAGTGAGCCATACTCTAAATATTAATGAATTTAGGAAATATATTGAGATATTATTGTTGGGCACGTTATGTGCCTCATATATAATTGGCTCCAGTTATCACCGACAGTGTAGTTGTCTTTATTAGCTTATCATCATGATTTTATTTGTGGTAGCCAGTAAAAGAAAAAGAAAATTCGAATTAAGCGTTGGATCGTGAGATTATGGTGCCCATAATTCGTGAGATTATGGTGCCCTTATGGGCGCCATAGAATTTCTACACTTTCAACTCTATCAAGATAGATCTATGCTTATATTATTTTGTTTGCTATACAATTGACAAAAGATTGTTTGTATTCTGAACATTATTTTATGAGAATATTGAGTGTTACATTTTGTTTCAACATAATAACCACGTGTTCTTTTCGACACCATAAGTAATAAGTTAGTGTGGGTACTTCATCAGATTAAAAGTTATACATGTCAAAATTCTTGTTACATTTTTTTAAAAAAAAAAAAAATAATAAAAAAAAATGTCAATTTAGTAGTGTGTTTGATAAACACGTACTTTATATTTATAGCTAATTAATTAGTTTATAACCTTCTTGTGTTTTAAATAAATTTAGTTCTATATGATAGTTGTTTTTATAGGTAATATCTTGTAAGCTTCTATGGAGAATTGTAAATTCAATTGAAATTTTTATTTCAACTAACTTCGAATTAATATTGTCAAAAACATATATTGTATCAGCTACCTTTTTTTGTTATTGATAAGTTCGAAATTATCATGTATAAGTTAGAAATTCACGTATCCCCCTTATATATTAATTGAGAACGTGTCGAGTCTATGTGGCAGACTCGCATGCTTCGGGATCCTATATGGCAAAAATACATGCTTCATTATTAGGCTTGGGTAGATTTAGTTTACTTCTAATCCAAATATATTTAGGTTCGGATTATCTATAATATGTCGATTATTTATGGTAAGGGTGGGCGCCGACCGGGACGGTGTTGGATTTGACTTGTTCGGATACCCATCTCACTTTTATGAATCCGTCCATGAACGGTCCGGGATGAGGCACCGTCGCCACCCATGTAATACATGGGTGTTGTACTAGTAAATTATTAATCATCAACTAATTTTTCAACTACTAGTATGTGGCCCGTGCGATGCACAAGTAAATAATATTAAATAATAATTATAAATTGACGATATAGGCATATAATATGTATTCGTTTAGAATTTTGAGTGCCATTTTGAAATTTTTTAAGATTTGAGACTTTTAAGATGATCAAATTTTAGAGGAATACTATGAAATCTTAAGTGTGAATGTAAGATTTAGAGTGAAATTTTGTATAATATTTTTTTCTTTTAAATCATAACTAATCTTAAAAAGACCTAACAAATCTTGATCTCAAATAAGTTAAATATTTAAGGATATTTTAAGATTTTTGTAATTTTTATATATCAAAGATGAACCGCTTTTGTTACCAAAAAACGTGGACACAATTGTGAATGTACATCCCGTCCAAATATCAGTTTTATTCTAAAATAAAAATTGCACGTGGTTTTATCCAATTTACACACTTTGTAAAGAAAAAATTATTCAACAAGATTGGAAGAATTGGTTAAGAATTATACAACAATTTGTTCGAAAATTTGTATCCAATTTGTACGGTTTTTAAGTTAATTTGTATTTAGAATTGTTTCATAAATAATTGACACATTTTTTGTATAAGAATCTCCAAATTTATACCAAAAAATATATGATTTAAATTTTGGAAAAAAAAAATATGATACGAAAAAAATGGAATTCAAATTTTGCTATAAGAATCTCCAAATTAGTTACCAAAAAATAGGATTCAGATTTTGTTACTAAAGATTCACATGTATTTTTTTTAACTTTTCATTAATAGTAAGTCAAACATTATATTTATTTGGTCAAACATTCTATTAATGTATTTTTCCAACAACCTCTTTATATATATATAGATATAGATATAGATATAGATATAGATATTTAAATAAGTTGGAGAATGAGAACAAAGATATCAATCCATATTTGGGCCTATATGATGCACGTTCTTCACTAACTATATCCAACTATTTTTGACATTTGGGTCTTAAAAACTATATTTTAACAGTTGGGCCTTCATGAAACATACATGGGCTCTTTTTAATTTCTGTGAACCCATTACCATCTTTTACAAAGTCTCAGGAAATTCAACGTACGGGTATCTGATTTGTAATTGGCATCCTTTTGTTTTATTTTTAAAAATTTGGCACCCTTCATTTTGTTGTTAAACGAAAGAAGTTACTCTTGAACTCGATTCCGCTCAATTTGTTAGGGTGTGATTAGTTATAAATTTAATAAAAATAGTTAATCAAAATTCAAATTTAATTGAACTTTAATTAATTTTACTATCCTTAATATTATCATTTGTCAATATCATAAAAAAGTATAGACTAATCATTTTTACACATCACATCAACTTTAATTCATTATTCATTCAACTAGACATTAATTTCAATCATTTTTCTCATACTTTTACATTAAATTATATTTAATTATTTTATTTTAAATAACATTTAAATTTAAACTTAAGTTTCCACTAACAACTGTTGTAGCAATTTTTTTTTTTTTTTACCAAGTACCGAATCGAAAGATTCGTTCCCGGGGTCAATCTCTCAAGGAAGGCGGTTCGGAATCTAGATTCGATGTTGATCGAACACAAAAGCAAAATAAATCCTAAACACTCTAATCACGATTGGGGTTTGAGCGGTCAACTAGAAAATAACAGAAAATGCATAAAACATAAATTAACTCAAAAATATGAAACAAAAAATGATTAAGAAGCTAGGGAGTCGGGGATATTTGTTTCGATTCGAAATGCAATTAACGGACAAGTGATCATTCGGTTAAAGGATTCGAATAACCTACTCGTTCAGAGATTCATCCTCAATAACTTTTTGTAACAAGAGGATAAAGGTGAACGGCAAATTCACGAGTCGTTTAACACATAGGCAATACAGTTACGAACAAGCCTATTTTATAGGAGCCTAGATCGATCAACTCCTCCCCTTTCGGTTCTAAGAGTCGATTAAATTGGACTAGAAGGTGGTTAATCGACTAATCTTTAAGAATTAACAACATCAAACCCGAATGAATCATGTCCAATTGAAAATCAATTGCAAGTTGAGGTGTCACTCATCAACAACATTCAACAATCAAGTTATGATAACCGAAAACCCTTTTAAAAACAACTCGCATAAATTGAAGGATCAACAAGCACGATAATCACAATCAAATTCAAAACATCATCCCCTATCCCTAGCGAATCGAATTAATTATTCATATTCAATTCAACACAATCAAGCTCACAATCACAACAATCATACTCATGGATTAAATGAATAGAAAAACTTACGATTAAAAGGGTATTGAATGTTGAATCCGAGATACGAGATTAATTCGAAGGCAATAAAGAAATCAAGATGAAAACCAAGATCAATTGTGTTTTCTCAGATGAAAATCAGGAGAAAAATGAGTTTGGGGTGTTATTTTAGGTCTGGGAACGAGTCCCAGTGCAAAGTACTCGAACAAATGAACAAAATCTAGCTTTTAAAATTCTGGTCGCAACCTCCGCGGCCGCGAGATTTCAGCTGCAGAGGGGCTCCGTGGCCGCGGGATTCCTCCGCTGCCCGCGGTGAAGAAAATTGGGTTGCTGCGCGCGGCTTAATGTTTCGGGCTCGTTTAGACTCGTTCGAATTCGGAATTGAAGTATCTACGAACCCCTCTATCCAATTATGCTCTGGAAACCAATTTTTTCTGAAGAGAAAGTTCGCACGAAGCTCCCGACCTACACACCAAAAATGACAAAACACAAAAACAACTGGAAAAACAAACGAAAAATACTTAAAGACTCAAAATGAAGGAAAACACATAATAAAACCCGAAACAGACTTAAAACGAAAGAAACAACCTAAAATGAGGGGAAAGAAAAAGCGAAACGCGCACAAAAAATGCAACAAAAATGGGACAAACAACAACTAACTATACCACATTTTTTAAAATTAACTATGATTAAAAAAAATCAATCAAATCTATATCCAATCACACTCTTAATGATATAGTTTGGTTCATTTCATTAACGAATCTAATTAAAGATTGTTAAAGCTTGCTAATAGGATTTTTTACGTATTTTTTTTTTATTTTTATACAACTCGATTTGATAAAGATTAAGCTCATTTATTGACTAATTTATAAGCAAGTCGAGTTTGACTCGACTTGACTCTAACCCGAAGTTGAGTATTAAAAACTCAAGCTCGACTCGGTTTATTTATAGCCAAAAAAATAAAAGATATAAAAATATTAAAATCATTAGTTATTAAAATTTCTCATTAGGGTTTTAGGGCGTGCGGGACACTCGCTCATTTATATAGTGTCGCCTCTGTTTTTCTTTTTCCTCTCCCAGCTGATAGCTTCGTTGTCTTCAACACTACAAACCAGTTCAGTTTACCTTAGCCGCCTCAAGCAACAATGGAGCAGACCTTCATTATGATCAAGCCTGATGGCGTTCAAAGAGGCCTTGTAAGTGCCTTTATTTTATTTTTATTTTCGCCCAATCGTTCACTTTTATTCTTGTTGTGAGTTTTCATATCAATTTTGATGGTCACTCAATTTGGAATTTGTTCAAAGATTAGCTTTT